CTTCTGGCCTCGCCACCTTGTTTATAAGAATGCTGTGGTCTGCTTTATCTTCCTTGCTGCCTGGGCATTGTAGACTTTAAAGGCTAAGTCTACCAGCTGAGAGGGATTCATTCCCAATGCCCCGTCTAAATGGCTCGAGTTTCCTTCTGATACCCAGGGCACTTTTCCCAGTAAAAGTCATGTTCAGCACCTTCACATTCTCTGGTGCCTGCAGATCAGCATCTGTGTGCTTTCCATAGGTTCAGTAGATCCCCTCCAAAAATTCAGAAGGGTCCTCATTTGGCTTTTGCCGAAGGGCTAGTATCCTATTCGGGCCCTTTGGCTGAGGCACCCCTTTCTTAAGCCCTTCCAGAATACACTTTCTGCAATGTTCCAGGAAGGGTGAGCCCCCACCATTTGGGTTCGAGCCAGGCTCTGTCGAGGGAATTGCCTCAGCTGGGTTGGGGGTCCCAGTGGGATTCTCTAGGTGGAGACATTGGACCTTTTCACTAGCCTTATTTATAAGCAGCTGTCTCTCAACTGCTGTTAACAAAGTATTGAGGAGAGCCTGTAGACCAGCCTGTGCTGGGTGATGAGTGGCCAAAATGGGGGCAGTAAGATCTGCCAAGCTCTGAGGATCCTCCCTGTACGAGGGGCTGGAATTCTTCCAATTCAGCTAAGTCTGAAGTGGAAAACAGGCTGGCCTTCCCAATTTACTCTGTCTGTAGGGTACCGCCTCAAAGGAAGCTGCCTTGCTCCATAGAGGGAGGCTCCCTGGCCAAATCAGGTGCCCTGATAGGTCTTTGAGGGGGAGACCCATCCTTCATCATACAGCGGTGGGGACATTGGCCCTTTGGGCCCTATTTCATGGGTAGCTTGCGGCGCAGATGACAACAGAGGGGACTTCCTGCTATGAACTTTGTGTCTCTTGAGTTCAGGGCATGAATGCGGCCCATTTCCTCATTCTCCTTCTCTTCCTTTGTACAGTCAGGAAGGGGTTTCAAAGGCCCTTGGCTTCTCTGCACCGTTAAGTGGACCTCTGTCTCTGGTGTAATCCTATTATGCAATGCCATTAAGTGCCTTGAAATAATGGATTTCATCCCATTTCTCCATCTGTTGGCAATACTATTTCAGTTGCATAATAGTATTGTAGTCTAGGGAATGACCCATGGGCCACCTTTCCCCACAATCCAAAACGTGCATCGGCCACACAGTATTACAATAATAAAGCAACACTTCCTTAGACATTGGATAATAGCTATATATACCCCAGGCTGCTAAAATCTACCCAGTGGGCTCCTCCAGGAACCAACCCAGAATGGCCCCTGCTGGCCCAGACACACAACGGGCCCGATCCTATGACCAACAGAAGCCAGGCAACCTGGGAACGTAGAGAATACTGTCATCCACGGCTCCATTATTTCAACAAATTCTCATGAGCAAGTTTTTCTGTCAACCAATCTCACAGCCAGTGAACTCAAACAACTCCCCCCACGGTGGCCAGTTCTTACCTGGACCCTGGTTCTCAGCCCTAAAACTCAGGTGATCCTTACTCCTTCCCAGAGTCTATCATTCCCTTCCCAGACTCATTTCCCTTCCACGCACCAGGTGTGTTTAAGCGGCTGGTGCCTCTGCAGATGCACTGAGAAATTCCCAGCAAGAGGGAGGCCCCGCAGTTGCACTCCATGTGGGGCAGGAGGGGTGTTGACCTGCCACTAGCAGCTCGGGACTACATTGGGCGCCACTGCTGTAACTGAAAAACCAATGGGGTCCTGCCGCCTGCCGCCCATAGGCAATAACTCCAGAGACAGAGCTTGGTGGAAAGGAAAATGGAATACATATATATCAGATTGCTTGATGCTCAGTCCCGCCCCCGCTGCCAGAGGAGCGAGCAGGCTGCTCTGCAGTGGCCGCCACAGCAGGTTCCCTCAGATGGGTGCTCCAGGGAAGGGCCATGGGCGCCTCCTGGGACCCGCCTCCCAGGACCTGCCAGCCCTAATCTCTCCCCTCCCTGCCACCCCCCTCTTACAGGCCTTGCACCTTGCTCCTAGCAGGGGCAGAGCTCTAGGTCTGGCCTGAAGTGCTCAGGGAGGGACATGGGGCCTGACGCTCCCTGGCTGCCCTGGGGCTGGAGCCGACTGGCCTGTGGCCCTGGCGTGGGCCCCAGGCAGGCAGCAGCCACCATAGCTTCCTGCTTGGGAAGGGGCACGGGGCTTGTTGGCCCAAGCCTGATGTGTGGGCCATGGGTGGGCGGCAGCTGCCGTGGCTTCCCCGCTGGGGAAAGAGCACAGGACTTGTCACCATGAGCCTCCCTGAGCCTGCTGCCCTGGCCTCCCCGCTACGTGCCTCCTGAGCCTCCACACCCCGCCCTCCAACCCAAAATCTACTGCGCTCCCGGACAGGCAGGTCCTGCAGCGCTGCGGCAGGAGGCACTCGGGACCCCTCGGGCGAGGTCCCCGGCTCAGGACACTCAGCCCCCAGCCAGGACCCACCAGTAAGGAGATCGGGGAGCAAAAGCGTGGCATTTTTGCGCACTTCACCTTTTGATCCTCCATAATCCTCGGCGCTGGGAAGTGGATGGGGGGGCATACCCTCCCATCCAATCATCCCCCTGGTTTTTGGGCCCTGGCGCTGCACACCCTTTTTTGTGTTAGGCGCAGGCCGGCCCAGTTGCCGAGGCTACGCACGCATGCACCGCAGTCTTTGCCGCTTCGCCGCGCCTTCCCATTTCCAGTGGGGCTGTCCCCACTGGCCACCCATTATGGTAGGATGGGGAAGAGGACATTTTTTAAAACCTGGCCATACCGCGATGTGGCTTAGTTGGCTGGGCGTCATCTTGCAAAGCAAAAGGTCGCCGGTTCAATTACTAGTCAGGGCACATGCCCGGGTTGCTGGTTTGGTCCCCTAGGGCTGGGGAGAGGGTCTGAGGGGACCCCGATCTACTGCCCGCCAGGAGGTGAGGATCTGGCTGAGGGCGAGCCCTCTTCACACAAACACCCACCTAATACTGTCTCCGTGGCCTTGCCCTCCCATTGCCCACTGTCAGGGGTGCGCGGTGCCTCCAGTTCAAGAAACTGCCTAGGGTTCCGTCTCCTCTAGGGGCATCCGAGTAGAGTGATCTTAAACGGAAGTCACTCACCCCCGCCATCGCCCACCCCCCCGCCCCTGTTTTCCAAAATGCTGCCGATGCCTGTCCCCTGCTGCGGTGACCTCTTCCACTCCCCTCCATCTAAAACAAGCAGTTTTCCTGCACCCGCAGGAGGCCGCAGGCAGGCGGATTGGCCCGTGTGTTTCAGTTGCTGCATCAGATGGGCAGCCGCTGGTCTTTTTTGCTTCATTTCATTAAAGAACAAACAAACAGGTGCCTTGCCAGATGTTTAAAAGGCGACGTTGTTGGGGAACCAAGCGTCATGGAGTCCCACAGAGCCTGATGGGAAGGTGATGTGTTTGCACAGAGTAAAAATCCAGGCAGGTGCGCTGCAGCGGGCCACGGTGGGGGCGTCCCCGCTCTCCCGTGGGGCCCGCGCAAAAAACTTAGCAACCTCCAGCGATAAAAGCCAGACGAGCAGCTCCCTCTGGAAGTGGGTGTTGGCCGGGAGGGGCCCAGGGAGTCTTCGGGGGCAGGACAGGCTCTCTGCCTTGATGTGAGTGACCGTGACACACATGTGCAGTAGCGCCTCCTACCCGCAGTTTTGTTTTCTGCACTTTCAGCTACCCCCTGTGAGCCGTGGTCCAAAAGTAGTAAATGGAAAATTCCAGAAATACACCATTTATAAAATTTTAGGCTATGCACTGTCCCGAGTAGCGTGACGATGTCCCGCACTGTCGGCTCCATCCCTGTGTCCAGTGTCTCCACTGTGCACACTGCTGGCCCACTCGTCACGGAGACCATCACAGCAACCGTCCCCGGGCCGCGCAGCGCGTGCTGCTCCGCTTAACAGTGGCCTCCGGGCACGAAGGCTGTGGGGCTCCCCTTCAGATACCCCAGAGAGAAGCCATAAATTGGTTTCTGTAAGTGAAAAGGTGAGTGCAGTAGAATAGAATATTTTGAGAGAGACCACGTTCACATAACTTTTATTAGAGCATATTGTTATAGATGTTCTACTTTATTATGTCATTATTGTTTTCTCTGTGCATAATTTACAAGTTAAACGTATATCGTAGGTATGTATGTGTAGGGAAAAAAACAGTATACATAGGGTTGGGTACCCTCTGCAGTTTCAGGCGTCCCCTGGGGGTCTTGGAATGTATCCCCCACAGAAAAAGACAGACCACTGTACACATATAGAAAAATTTTTCAGGCTGCACACTTGAGATTTGCAAACACATGACATTGTGTGTGTCTCACACCTTACTTAAAAAATGGAGGGACATTGTCAATTAATGAGTGCTGGACCCTAGCCAAGTCTGCTTTTGACTTTATTCATTTCATTCAATGAGCACCTACTTGTCCCAAACACCATCTAGGTTCTGGGGACCCAGCAGTGAACAGAAAATTAGACAGAGCCCCTGCCTGCACGAAGCTCACAGTTAATATCAAACAGTCACACTCGTAAAAGTGAAGTGACAACTGAAGGGCGCGTCCATGTGCAGAAGAAGGGTCTCCTTGTCAGGGTGGGAGGGCCAGAAAGGATCCCCTGCGGAAATGAAGTTGCAGCAGCAACCAAACGGGTGAGGGGGAACAACCGGCAAGGACGGGGAAGAGGACGTTCCGAGTGAGTGGAACGGCACGTGCCAAACCCTGCGGTAGGAGGCGGCTGGCACAGTGAAGGGGGCAGAGAAGAGCGTCGCGCATGGCATGGCCGCTGTGAGGGGGGTTGGGAAACGCAGGCTCAGGGCGGTGAGGTGGCTGCCCCCGGTCCCCAGCGACTGCAGGGCGGGGCGGGGGGGAAGCCAGTGTTGTCTGGTCGCCCCCTGCTCCCTGAGACCGAGGGTGGGGACGTGAACAGGGAGGCCGCCTGCCTTCCAGACCCCCGCCGGATGCCCGCTGCCCTCACGTGCCCTGCCTCTCAGCTCCACAGGGCCTGCGCCTGCGGTCGCCATGGATCCGTGCCCCGATGAGCAATACTGGGACAGCCTGCTCAGCGTCTGCGTCTCCTGCAAGCCCCTCTGCAGCCACCGGATTCCACGTGCCTGTGTGGCCTTCTGCAGTGAGTCTGGGGCGGCGCCGAGGGGGCGGCTGGATCGCCCCCCTTCACCTCCCGCGGGCCCTCTGGCCCCGCGGCGCTTGGGTGTCTGAGGAGGGATTGTGGCAGCAGATGTGTGATGTGACGTCCCTCTGCCCTCCGTCTCTCTGCTCTGGCCACACTGGCCTCTCTGCAGTTTCTGGAACATGCTGTGCTCTTTGCTGCCTCAGGCCCTTGCACATGTTGCCCTTGGCGTATGAAAAGCCTTTCCTCCTCCTCCTTCCCTTGGCTCCCTCCCACCAGCCTCACGGTCTCAGCCCAAGGGCCGGGCTCTCCTCTCATTGCCCGCAGAAATGAGGCTCCCTGTCCTTCTCTACCCTTCCTCTCTTTTGAAACTTGTTATTATAGAATTGTCAAACAGAGAGAGGATAACGTGACAGACCCCGTTTACCCATCAGCAGTCAGCTTTAAAAATTCTGCCTTTTTATTCCCCAACCAATTGTTTTAGCTTCCGTATTTTAAAGCTAATCCAAGAACTCCTGTCACTTGCTGGTAGATACTAGATCATGAATCTCTAACACTCTGGGCCTTTAAAATGTCACCTAGCAGGGATCACCCTCAGCAGGAATCCCTGAACATTGTCTCACTCAGGCTGTACCTAACTTTCTCTGGTTGTCTTGAAAAATACATTTTGCTTGCTGTTCTTTTGTATAGCTTGTTCTTTTCCTCAATGGAACGTATCACAACTTGTCTTATGTTCCGTCGTGTGTATTTGTTACATGTCTGTTTCCACCACCAGACTGTGACCCTGACACATAGCAAGCGCTTCACAGATACTTGCTGAGTGGAGCTCAGAGAGGCTTAGTGACTTGCCCAAGCTCACAGAGCATGATGGTGGAAAAGTTAGGGTTTGAGCCAGGACTCTCCGACTCCCTAAGCACGACAGTGAATCACTATCCGTTAATGGGATAGAACACTCATGGTGTCGTTCCGCAAGCTCCCATGGAGCTCTCTGGCCCCTTTAAGACAGAACTTTCACGGGACTCAATAACAGGTTATCATCTAACGGGAGAAAGGACTACATTTTAAGCTATAAAGGTAAAGTACCATGAAACGCCACAGCAGGGAGCAGGGAAGTGTCCCTGGAGGAAGTGCCCCTGAGACGGACTGTTGGAGTCGGTCGGTGTGAAAGTCAGGTGGAGAGGGCAAGTGTGGGCCAAGGCTCGGGCGTGGGAAACCCAGCAGGGAAATCAGGACCCAGAGGGAGAGTCTGTGAGCCCGGCGGTGAGGGCTGTGGGTCTGGGGAACGCAGGCGCCGCCTGTGACGGCCACACTAGCGTCCCTGAGGACGGGAGGGGTCTCAGAGAACCCCAGGAGCACCCCTGCCATAAGGTTAACTCCGTCCCACGAGCGGCGGTGGCAGCGGTCCTCTGTGGCTCAGGGGAACCCGGACCAGGGCAGGGCCGAGCGGGGAGGTCCCTAGGAGAGCAGGATCATCGGAATCTTTCCTGTGATCCCGACTTCACCGTCTTTATGGTCTTTTTCTTAATCTGTCAAGGGCATAAGTGTTGGTGTGTTTGCGTTGCAAAGAGGCAGAAGTGAATAGTCTGCTTAAACCTTCCATCTACTGATCACCTGCACGCTGTGCACCAGGCATTGTGCTGAGGGCTTCGAACCCTCACGACCACCTTAAAAAGTCGACACTGGTGTTGCCCATCTCTGAGAGATGAGGGCCTTGAGGTGGGCGGTTGGTCGCTGTTAAGGCCCCACAACCTGCAAGTAGCAGGGCTACTCGGCTTTGAAGTCTGTGTGGCTACCTCCTGTGTTGCGTTGCCTCTGAAATGTGCCCTTGGAACCTGTCATGGGAGTCACGTATTTATATAAATAGAATCTTATTTTAAAGACAATGGAAAGGTGCCCTGGGAAAGTGTAGATTTCTGTTCTGCTCTCAAAGCTGCCCTCTCAGTGAAAGTGTGACCAGACTCACTTTGTTTGGCTTCTGCTCCTTGGCCCTGACTCCTGTATAGGCCCCTGTAGTCTCGTTCATCATGAAGGCCGGTGCAACCGCAGCGCCCCGAACTCTCCTGCCTTCCCCCCATCCCCAGTTTGCCACGGAACGAATGCTGGTTCTCTTCTCCAATCCTTGTGTTCATGTACAATGGTTTTCTTCATTATGAGGCTTGAAAAATGCAAGTAAAGAACTTTAGTGACAATGTAATCACCTATATATCAGTTTTAAAAGATAACTGAAAAGTCGTCATATGTATAGCAACTACAGCATGCACTTCTAAATAATCTGTAGGTCAAAGGAGAAATAACAATGAAAAGTAAAAACCTTGAAAACCAGATATAAAAAATGCCATGTATCAAAATCTGTGCATCACGGCTGAACGGCACTTTGGGGGCAGTGACAGCCTTACATCTGCGTATTAGAAAAGGACTAGGATCACCGTGGAGTTGCTTTTAGGGAATTAGTTGTGTGTATTTTTTTAACTTTGATGCCCTTTGAGGCCAGACCCACAGTTTCCAACGGTCTCTGTCACCGGCTAGCATCACTCGCGTCTGTCTTCCAGGGTCAGTCAGTTGCCGCAAGGAGCAAGGCAGGTACTATGACCAGCTCCTGAGGGAGTGCATCAGCTGCGCCTCCATCTGCGGACGTCACCCTAAGCAATGCACATACTTTTGTGAGAACAAGTTCAGGAGCCACGTGACCCTCCAGGCAGAGCTCAGAAGACAGAAGACCGGGAAAGCTGAAACCAAACCAGACAGCTTGGGAAGGTACCAGGGATCAGCGCACAGAGGCTTAGAGGCGGGTCCAGGTAAGCTTCCTGCATGGCTTCTTAGTGGGCGGAGGGCAGGCGCCAGGACTAAATAAAGGGGCCTTCCGACTGGGGAGTCAAGAGTCCAGGCGAGTGGAGGTCATCACAGGATGAAAAAGAGAAAATGGGCGAAATACCTGGAAGTCTGCAGTTGGGCAGGAAGCAGGAGAAGAACAGACCTGATCATCAAGAGACTTTTTCTGAATTAAAAAAAAATTTTCAGTGACAGTTGGCATACAATATTATGTTAGTTTCTAATGTACAGTGTGGTGCTTAGACACCTCTATATCCCCCCAGTAAGTGTAGCACCCACATGACACGTACACAGTAATTACTATATCCCTAACCATATTCCATATGCTGTACTGGACATTCTGTGAGTGTTTTAATAACTGTAAGTTTGTACTTCTTAACCCCTTCACTTTTTAAAATCTTTCGCCCCCAAACGGGCAACCATCAATATGCTCGATCTATGAGTTTGTTTCTCTTTTGTTTATTCATTTATTTTATTTTTTTAGATTCCACATATAAGTGAAATCATACAGTATTTGTCTTTGACTTATTTCACTTAACATAATACCCTCCAAGTCCATCCATGATGTTGCAAATGACAAGATTTCACTCTTTTTATGGTTTAGAGACATTCTGTTGTAAATAGGCATCACATCTTCTTTATCCCCTCAGCCACGGATGGACACCTAGGTTGCTTCCATATTTTGGCTATTTGAATAATGCTGCATTGAACACAGAGGTGTGTAAAGTGTTTTCAGATTGGTGCTTTGGATCTGTTTGGATAAATACCAGAAGTGGAATTCTGGGTCACACGGTAGTTCTATTTTTAGTTTTCTGAGGAAACTCTGCACTGGTTCCCACAGCGGCTGCGCCGGCTGCATTCCCACCGACAACGCGCGGGGGCTCCCTGTCCTCCACATTCTGACCAGCAGTTGATGTTGATTTATTAATGATGGCCATTCTGAGAGGTGTGAGGTCATAGCTCACTGTGGTTTTAATTTGCATTTTCCTGATAATTAGTAGTGTTGAACATCTTTTTATATATCTACTGGCCTTCTTTGGAGAAATGTCTAGTCAGGTCCTTTGCCCATTTTTTAAAAATTAAATTGCTTGGTTATTTTTGATGTTAGGTTGTATGAGTTCTTATTTATTTTGGATATTAACCCCTTATCAGATTATATCGTTGGCAAATACCTTCTTCCAGTCAGTAGGTTGTCCTTTCATTTTGTTGATGGTTTCCTTCGCTGTGCAAAAACTTTTTAGTTTGATGAAGTCCCATTCATTTATTTTTGCTTTGGTTTCCCTTGCTCAAGGAGACTTATCCAAAAAATATATATTACTAAGAGCAATGTCAAAAAGTATACTGCTTATGTTTTCTTCTAGGAATTTTATGACTTGGGGTCTAAAATTGGTCTTTAATCTATTTTAAGTTTATTTTTGTATTTGGTGTAAGAAAGTGATCAAGTTTTATTCTTTTGCGTGTATCTGTCCAGTTTTACCGACACCACTTATTGAAGAGATTTGTATATTGTTGCTTCCTTAATCATAGATTAATTGAGAATATAGGTGTGGGTTTATAATTGAGCTCTCTATTCTGTTCCATTGATCTATGTGTCTATTTTTATGATAGTACCATGGTGTTTTGATTACTGCAGCCTTGTAGTATAGTTTTATATCAAGCAGCATGATACCTCCAACTTAGTTCTTCTTTCTCACTATTGCTTTGGGTATTTGGGGTCTTCTGTGGTTCCATATAAATTTTAGGATTATTTGTTCTAGGTCTGTGAAAAAATGCCATTGGTACTTTGATAGGGACTGCACTGAATCTGTAAGTTGCTTTTGGTAGTATAAGCATTTTAATGATATTAATTCCTCCCACCCATGAGCATAGTATGTCCTTCCATTTATTTGTATCTCCTTCAATTTATTTCTCCAGTGTCTTTTAGTTTTCTGAGTACAAGTCTTTTACCATCTTGATTAAATTTATTTCGAGGTATTTTATTCTTTTTATGCAATTGTAAATGGAATTTTTTTTTAAATTTCTGTTTCTGATAGTTTGTTATTGGTGTATAAAAATGCAACTGATTTCTGAATGTTAATTTTATATCCTGCTACTTTTCTGAAGTAATTGATCAGTTCTAATAGTTTTTTGGTGGAATCTTTAGGGTTCTCTCTGTATGGTATCATGCCATCTGAAAATAATGACAGTTTTACTTCTTCCTTTCCAATTTGGATGCCCTTTATTTCTTTTCTTGTTCAGTTGCTGTGAGTAGGAATTCCAACATTATATTGAATAAGAGCGATGACAGTGGACAACCTTGTCTTGTTCTCAATCTTCAAGAAAAAGCTTCCGCCTTTTCATCTTTGAGTGTGATGTTAGCTGTGGGTTTAGCATATATGGCCTTTATTGTGTTAGGGTGTGTTTCCTCTATTCCTACTTTGCTGACAGCTTTTTATTATAAATGGATTTTGGATTTTGTCAAATAGGTTTTCTGCATCTGTGGATATGATCGTATGACTTTTACCCTTCATTTTGTTTGGTGTATCTTGTTAGTTTATTTGCAGATATTGAACTAAACTTGCATCCTAGGAATGAATCCCACTGGATTATGGTGGATGATCTTTTCAATATATTGCTGAATGTGATTTGCTGATAATTTTGTTGAGGATTTTTGCATCTATGTTTACCAAGGATATTGGCCTAAAAATTTTTTTTTGTAGTTTCTGATTTGATATCAGGGTAATGATGGTCCTGTAATATGAGTTTGGGACCCTTTGTCTCCTCTTCAACTTTTTGGAGGAGTTAGAGAATAGGTATTAATTCTTCTTTGAATGCTTTGTAAAATTTACCGGTGAAGCTATCTGGTCCAGGGCTTCTGTTTGTTGGGAGATTTTGGATTACTGATTCGATTTTGTTGGTAGGTATCTTCCTGATTCAGACCTGGAAGGTTATTTGTGTCTAGGGATTTATCCATTTCTTCCAGATTATCCAATTTATTGGGATATAATTGGACATATTAATCTGTTTTATTTCTGTGGTGCCGGTTATCACTTCTCTTTCATTTCTGATTTTATTTATTTGGGCCCCCACTCTTTCCTTCTTGATGAGTTTGGCTAATGGTGTATCAGTTTTACGAATCTTCTTTTCAGGTACCAGCTCCTGGGAGATTGACTCCATTTTGTTTGATTCTTTTTAATGGAATTTTGTCCTGTTCTTTCATTTGGGATATGTTCCTTGTCTCCGCATTTTGACTGCTTCCTGTTTGCTTCTGTGTATTAGGTAGATCTGCTACATCTCCCAGTCTCGTCAGGGTGACCTTATGAAGTAGGTTTCCAGTGGGTCCCAGTGGTTCATCTCCCTCGTCAGTTAACCCGGGTGCTCCAGGGGTGTCCCTTCTGTGGGCTGTGTGTGCCGCTGTGGACACGATGAGAGCTGTCTCCTGAAGTGGGCATCTACCAGGTGCCGAGCACTGACAACGACCTAATCATCCTCCCAGAAAATAGCTCTAGCTCTGCGGCATCAGAAAGAGTGAGAGGGGCGCCAGGTGGGCCCACGAACACCTGGTGCGCACACCGCTCATGGCCGGTGAGTGGAGAGGCGGCAGGCCTGAAGCTCCCAGGGCGCCTGTGGTTTTTTTTCCTTTGCTGTGACTTTCCTCACAGTAACATCATTTCCACGAGGCCAGACCCCAGTGCCGAGATACCAGGGCTCGGTGGTTCGTACACCTCGTGACTCTGGGTCGGGTTGGCTGGGGTCGGTTCATGCTCAGCAGGCTCAGGTAAACGTAGCTCTGCTCCGTATGTCTCTCCTGCTCCTCCTGGATCAGCGGTCCGGCAAGGTGGTCCTGAGGGCAGGGGCGGGACGGGTAGGAAACGCAAGGCCTCTTGATGCCTAGGCTGGGAACTTGCGTTATATCGCGGCTTCTGCATCCTAATGCTCAAGTTGCAAAGCCAGCCAGATTCAAGGTGGGGCAAATACATGGCACATCTCAGGGGGAGAAGAGGCTAATAATCCGTAGCCATGGTGAGTTCACTGTGGGTTTTAATGCAGCGCAGCCTCTTTGCCGTGGGAGGAACTGCAGGTTCCTGTGCAGAGGTCATGGGTACAGAGGGGCGACGCCTGCGTCACGGAGGCAGGGGCCGCCCCCGCTGCTCCCGTGCCCGGTGTCCTCTGCGCCTGCCCAGCAGCCAGTGGCATATCAGAGCCTTCCAGCCAAACCTGGGACCTTTCCCACCTCTGATGCAATAGATTGCCATTTGGATCCGTTTTACCCACTTGACAAATCTAAAACCCAAGTCTCAAAATTTGAAGCTACTTGCTGTGAGCCGCACAGTGAATGCATGTTGAGCTGGGATTCAGGCTCAGTCTATGGGGTCAAAGTTTCTCCACTCTAAGAGCAAAATCCCAGAGCAGTGTCCATGGGATGTCATTTCCTAAAGGTGACCTGCTGCCCATGGGACACACTTTGCCCTTCCTTTTTGTGACCGCCAGCCAAGGCCCATCCTTGGAGGGCACCAGGTGGAAGCTGGGAGCCTCTTTTTGGCTCCGGGGACAGGTCGTCCAGGATGAGTCGATGAGGTTGTGTAAGGGCGCGGTGGGAGAGGGTTGTGTCGCCCAGCCATGCCTGACCCAGCCTCAGCCGTTCCGCTCATACATGGCCTGGCCGTGCAGCCCTGAGCCCCGGCGGGGCCCTGTGGCTCCCTGACCTGCTGTGCCCGCCCTGCTCTGGGTCTCCCCAGGTTCTGGGGCGTAGGTCTGTTCTGCTCTCTCCACTGACTCCTGCGTGGGCTGGCAGGGCAGGAGCTGGGATTGAGTAGATTGTGGACAGAAGTACGGGGCCACATGCCCGGGGAGGGCCCAGGTCTGGGCCTGAGGTCAGGGGCTGCAGGGCGCTATGTGACCAGGCCGCATCCAGCTATATGTACTGGCGGAGCCGATCTGTCTCTGTCTCCCTTGCGGGTTCCCCCAATCCTGCCACCCGCACTCA